CCCCTTCTAGTCGCTCGTTCCTGCAGTTGGGCTGAAAGTGGTGCGGGTGCGCCATCGGGGTTGTGTTGGGTATGCGAGCCGGGGGTGGGAGCTGCTGCCAGTGCTCTTGCTGTTTGTTTTCAAGCTGTGCCCCTGTCCCACAGCAGGAAGAGCTGTGCTGCTTGCAGAGGGCACCTCCGCGAGCTGCTCTGCCGCCTGGGGTGACGTGCCGGGGCCGTGTCGGTGGCTCCCTGGCTGGGCTCGTAGCTCTCTTTCGATGTACAATTCTGTACCTTCTGGGGTGACTGGTGTTTGTAAAGCACTTGGGTGCCGGCAGCAGCTAGATGTCAGCGTTGGTTGCAGCTCGAGGATGATGACGATGATGACGATATGGGGGACCATGACGAGGACCACCCTGGGATGGAGGTGGTGCTGCATGAGGATAAGAAATACTATCCCACCGCCGAGGAGGTCTACGGGCCCGAAGTAGAGACGATAGTACAAGAGGAAGACACGCAGCCTCTCACTGGTGAGTGGTGAGGAAGCGGCGAGTCGGGTATGGAGGGAGAAGAATACTCTTAATGGATCCTTGGAAACGGGAAAATAATATTCCCTTCCGTTCTCCCCATCTGTTTTAATGCTCCTTTCGAATTCCCAATTCCCTCTCAGCCCCAGGAACGCGTAGACTCTTGTTTGTCTAGCGGTGTGCAGATTTTGGCACTCGGGATTATTACAAATGCCAAAGATATCATCAGATGGTGGAAAGATATTTAAGGAGAAATGGAAATGCATTTAAGTCATTTAATTTGATCCTTTTATAATAGAATAGAATAGTTCAGTTGGAAGGGACCTGCAACAATTGTCTAGTACAACTGCTTTTATAAAAAGCTAAGAGGATCTGTCATCTTGAAGATTGTGGGTTTGTCTGCAAAAGTTGCTGTTCCCTACGACCGTTCACGGTCTCTGGTAGCAGTGTTTTATTGTTCTTTCTCTTGTTTTCAGAGCCTATTATTAAACCTGTGAAAACCAAAAAATTCTCTCTGATGGAACAGACGTTACCGGTCACTGTCTATGAGATGGAGTAAGTAATATGTAGGGGTTCTAAGCATGTATGTTGGATCAAGCCATCTGTGCTGTGATTTCCTCACTCCTTGTTGTTTACGGGCAAAGGTGGGGAGGCAGAGTGCTGTGTACTCTGTGGAGGAGGCAGATTTCGGGGGGCATTGGCTTTGTTTCTTACTGACACCAGCAACAGAACTGAGTGCAGCTGCTTCCCAGATTTGGAACCAAAAAGAAGAGGAAGAAAGTACAAGACTAACCATTTCACAGATATTTTTCCCTCCACATAATGCAGCATAGTGCATAGTTTTCTGACGCTAGAATGTAAGTCTTACCTTGAGAGCTGATACAAAGCTTGATAATCGGAAACCCTTGTGGTGCAGATTTGCTGAAAGCAAGTTTTCTTGACTGGCTCAAGAAATATTTCTATGGTCAGGGTGTGGCACACCTCATACTGGGACATTTTGGGGTGATCCCAGTGACCATTGGCCTGCTGCTCTCTCAAATTAATTCCCATCTATCCAGGAGGAGTTTCTGGGCAGGATTTTTATGCCGTCGGTTGTATGCAAAGTTGTGTCGTAGGTCAGCATAATGCTGCAGCTAAGTTGCACTTGGGTGTTGGTCTCTTCTCCCATGTAGTTAGCGATAGGACGAGAGGAAGTGGGCTCAAGCTGCACCAGGGGAGGTTTAGGTTGGAAATTAGGAAAAATTTCTTCATGGAAAGGGTGGTCAAGCATTGGAACAGGCTGCCCAGAGAGGTGGGGGAGTCCCCATCCCTGGAAGTGTTCAAAAAACGGGCAGAGGTGGCACTTTGGGACATGGTTCAGTCTAGTCTACCCTTGATTGGTTTAGTGTGGACTTGGTAGTGTAGGTTAATGGTTGGACTGGATGATCTTAAAGGTCTTTTCCAACCTAAACAATTCTATGATTCTATGATTCTGCTGCACTTGATGGTGTTTGCTGGTTGCAAAGCAGCCCCTGGGCCACCAGGGTTGGGAGAAAACCCTGGAAAAAATTCCAAACAAATCTAAAGACCGAGATGTAATATCTCCTGCAACTTTGGAAAGGAGTAAAACCAGTTGTTTACTTTCTCTATTAAAAATATATAATCTTAGCATCAGCGTCTACATTTTGCCGATGGGTGGAGGGGCTCTGTATCCTCGTGTGCACAGTGTTTATGTATGTTGTCTCCTATTTGAGGATGAACAGATTGAGCTGCGTGAGTGTCTTGTTAGGCTCGTCTTGCCATACGCCACTTCATGGCTAGGCAGAGCTTTTTCCAATTTTTAATAGTCGTCTTCAAGTGTAGGTCCCAGAACCAGATGCAGGCTGAGTAGCAGTTCCCTGTGCGCCAAACAGACCCCAACGTGAGCAGTCCCGCTGCGTGTTATCACGGATCCTGTTATTTTCTGGCAACAAAATTGCACTGGAGTTTGTATTCAGTCAGTTGGTTACTTGGATGCCCAGGACCTCTTTGGAATGGCTGCTTCTCGGGGCTGTCCCCTGATACCGTCACTCCGGCCGTGTTCATTGATCAGAGAGGTTTCTGATATAGCCAGATATAAACCAAAAAGCCAGCTGGGTCTTATTTTTCATAGAATCATGGAATGCTTTGGGTTGGAAGGGACCTTTAGAGGCCATCCAGCCCAACCCCTGCAGTGAGCAGGGACAGCTTTAACCAGAGCAGGGTGCTCAGAGCCCCGTCCAACCTGGCCTGGGATGTTCCCAGGGATGGGACCCCACTGCCTCTCTGGGCAACCCCTTCCAGTGCTTCACCGCCCTCATTGTAAAAAATTTCTTCCTTATGTCTAGTCTGAATCTATTCTTCTTTAGTTTAAATCCATTATTCCTTGTCCTGTCACAACAGGCCTTGCTAAAAAGCTTGTCCCCATCCTTCCTATAGCCCCCCTTTCAGCACTGCAAGGCCGCACTAAGGTCTCCTCACAGCCTTCTCTTCCCCAGGCTGAACAACCCCAACTCCTCAGCCTGGCCTCGTAGGAGAGGGGCTCCAGCCCTCGGATCATTTTTGTGGCCCTAATTTTTCTAATCAGTCCATTTTGCTCTTAGTCAATGACCTGCACTCTTCATTGTCTACCGCTTTCCTGATCCCTGTCTCCTCTGCTCGTTCCGTCTGTAATGAATTCCTCTTCATCCTGTTTGTAGATATAAATGGTTAGGACGGGGCCAGGAGAAATTCTCTGTGGGACTTAACCAGAAAACCTGCAAGCTTGGTATTGATTTCCCATTTAGCCTTATTTTAAGACCAATAAGCAAGCTTTTAATCAGTAGTATTATTGATTTTTTTATTTTTTAGCTCTTAATCAAAATGTTGTACATTAAGAAGTCTACTGCATCAGTGAAAATTAAATCTTTTTAAAAAGGAGGTTATTTGACAGCACTTATTTTCTGCAGACCTGTAGCAGTGGATACTTGTTTTATAGCCTTCCATTATTTTTTAAAGGAGTTGGTAATTTAGGATCTCAATTATATTTGGGCCAGGATCCATGCAGAAGTGACCGGCCCATCATTACCCGGCTCAGTTGCTGATTCTAAAAAGATTTAAATTCCGTTGCTGTTTCCTTGAGTCCTGGGAACGTCGGTGTTTTAAGACCTGAAAATCATAACTCATAATGGTCTGCGGAGCCCTGTGGCTACCTTTTAAAACTGCGTGGGGTGCTTGTTATCCAGCTCTGTGATTTACTTGACTGCCTGCCACTATTTGAGTGGAAGTATTTCATCATCTGAGTACATGGATGTGACTTTTGCTCTAATACTGACTAGAAGAGAAGAAAAATATTCAATAATATTCCATCGCTGGCAGTTTCACCAGCTCCGTATCCTCCCACCCACTGCCATCTGTCTAGGACTCCAACTCTCTTGTCCTCCCCATCTGGAAAGTGGGATTCTTCCTCCGCAGGGCATTGGCAGAATGAAAGTTTGGAGAGGATTCAGGGGGCACCTTGGATAGAAAGTGTAGCTGAAATGGCTCCTGCTTTTCTTAGACACAGCAGAAGCCTCCAACAGTCTTTTGTGTTTTGTTCCTCCAGTTTCCTGGCAGATCTGATGGACAACTCGGAGCTAATTCGAAACGTGACTCTGTGTGGGCACCTTCACCACGGCAAGGTAGTGTGAATATCCAACGCGTATCGGGTAGTAGTAATGATCTGTTTGTTGCTTGCTTTTACCGTTGCTCTTGATCCCTCAATCTCTGCAGCAGCAGTCTCTTTCTGCTCCTCTTGCTACTGCAGTTATTTGTAGGTTTTCTTTCAGCCACGTGGAAATGATAACGTGCCCAACTTTCTCTGTACTGCTGCTGGAGGGATGGGATTGTACTTGTATTTATCTGTCTGAACAGAGTCGCCTCCTTTCTCTTGTGGTCTGGTATTTTTCAGACGTGTTTTGTTGACTGCCTGATAGAACAGACGCACCCAGAAATCCGGAAGCGCTATGACCAGGACGTAAGTGGGCGGCTTTTGGTGTACTCCTGCCCTGGGGAACATGGGTTGGCTGTTCCGCTCAGAGGGAGCGTGACTGTACGTGGGGAAAATGTGGTTTAGTGATTAGAAAGTAGGATTGGAAAGCCAGAGCTCAGTCCTAATTCTGTCTCTGTCACTTACTTGCCACCTTAACCACGTGTAAAGAGTTCTTGTGTCCTGCTTCAAACTTAATATTTGATACAAAAATGCGATATTCTGACTTTTGTTTTGTCTTTGCAGCTTTGCTACACTGATATATTGTTCACAGAGCAAGAGGTAAGTGAGTCTTGTAGAACAGGCAGTGATTTTTATCCAGTCGTCTCATGCTTTACTCACAGTTACTTACTGTAGGCAGTTTCCTCTTCCATTTTAACAGCTTCTTGTGCCTTGCACATTTTGATTATTTTCGTTATCAACAAAATGATCTGCTCCTCTTGTTTGCCTCAGTAAGATCCCTGGTCTGACTTTCTTCTATTTCCTGCACCCCTCATCTCCATGTGTGATTTTATTTATCTGAGATGATAACCTGTGGAATGATGAAAATCTGTACCAGAGTTATCTCAGCATATGGGTAACTCCTGTTTTCTATGAGTGAAAGATGTGGAAGTGGTTCACAGCAGTGATGGATGGGAAAAAAACCTATGATTTCAAAATAAACATATTTCTCCTCTGTTTCCTTTGACGGGAACTCTTAGCTGGGTGCTCTGACTCCATGTGGTTGGGTGTGAATGGGAATCTTATTTTGTCCTACTCGCTAAATATTGTCATGACCAGAACAATCCCATGAAGCATTTCTTTCTCTTCATCTTAATGCCCTACTTTAGACTCTGGGTTGATCCAATCTTATGCTTTGAGGTGTAACTTGATAGCAGCAGAAGGGTGAAAGCCCAGAAAAAGATGGACCTTCTGTCTCTGGTGTTGCATATTATACTTCTTCGGCTGAAATGAGGCATGGATTGTGCAGTGGTAGCTCACCAGTCTGAGCCAGTGTGGATGGAGGAGCTGGGCTGGATACTGCAGCAATCTGAGGTTGTTACTCCCTCCCTGGGAGTAACAGGATGTCCTGGATGGATGTTTACTTCTTTCCATCTTTCTGATTTTGCTTTGGTCATCTTTTACATCTTTACATGGTGGTGTATATTTTTTTTTTTCCTTTTAACTGATAATCCCGGTTTCCTGTCTTTCAGAGGGGAGTAGGGATCAAGAGCACACCAGTGACTATTGTTCTGCCGGACACCAAAGGAAAGTCTTTTCTCTTCAACATCATCGACACTCCAGGTAATTGTGTAATCCTGAAAATCCTGGTTTGGGATGCACTTAGCTGAGGGCAGCTTGATGTGCGGAGCAGATACATGACCACGTGAACCAAGGTTTCTCTCATTATTAAACCCCTTTGGTCCTCTGCATAGTGCTATTGACAGGAGCGCGGCAGTGAAAACACGTACAGTGATGGTTAATGAGGGCCTTCAAAGAGCTTCTGTGTTGGATTGCGCTGGGATTGTGTAGCATTGGCTCTCAGAAAAACAAAGAAAGAATCTGTACCCTGAAACCTCACTGATTCATCTGGAAATGTCACCTAGGTGCAGTGAAACCCTGGGAAGTTTTCTTTCACAAACGGAAACCCATGTTTTGTTTTGTGTTTTTTTGTAGATGATTCCAGCCTAGTCCTGAGCCTTTAGCTAAGTTCATTCGTCTGAAATCCCTTCCAGCGGTAACGCCTGTGCAGCTGGCTTTTAGTCAGGCTTGTGTTTCTCATTAGCAGGCCTAATTGAGGGCTAATGGGGCTGAAAATGTGTTTCACTCAAGTATATGTGAAGCACGTGTAGAATTGGATTTTCCAGGTATCGTGCACAGTGGGGACCGTGCTTTTCTCAAATGCCGTTGCCCCACAGTGAGACTCAGCAAGTTCCCTCAAGCCTCTGGCAAGCTCCTGTGGGGGGAACATAATCATGGATCAACTTGTAAGAAACCAAGGCCAAACTTTAGGAAAGAGGGTCTTGGGACACATCTGTTGAGTTACAGCTCAAGATGAGGGAGGTTAGAGCGCAGGAGGAGACTGGAGGGAGAGGCATCTGTTGTTCTTTGGTGAGAAGTAATCTTCCTCCTTTTCCTGCAGTACTTGCACAGAGCTGTGAGAAAAACGGTAACAAATGTGAGGAAAAGTGCCTGTTAAATGAGTTGCTGTGTTTATTCTCAAAAAATAGCATTAAGGCTGAAGCGAATCCCTATATGGAGCCCTGGCAGCTGCTCCCTGGTCCCTGTCTGAGGAGAAAGCTGTCTGCGTTCTGCCTCGCTGGATGCCAGTGACCAGAGCGAGCTGCAGAGCAGAGGGATGGCTTTCCACCCTCCATGCTGCTGGTGTCAGGGCTTACTCTGGTTCTCACTACCATTTTGTGTTTTTGAAGGTCACGTCAATTTTTCTGACGAGGTGACAGCTGGCCTTCGTATTTCGGACGGCGTTGTACTTTTCATAGATGCGGCTGAGGGGGTGAGTGCCAGGTTCTCATAGGGGTTAACTTCAAAATCTCTTCCTCTGGAGTCTTTGATCCTGCCTTAGCATGGAGGCCTGGGATGGGTTCAGCTTTCCAGGATGAAGGGTTTTTGGAGGACAGTTTGGGAAGCGAGAGTGTTTTCCAGACAAAATGGGGTCAAGTGTCTGGCTTCTGTGTTCGTGGCTGACGTGATGCATGTAGGCTGATCATCTAACTTGTTTGTATCTCCATCCCCATGATACCTAAAATTGAGGAGGTTATTTGTAACAGAGATATCCAAAGGGTAGGATTCAAGGAATTCGGTTGGATTAGCACCTACTTACGAATTTCAGGAAGATTAGCTGATTGCTGGTGGCTGAGCTTAGGCTTTTCTCCGGAGTCGCAGCCCTGTGCGTAAGGGTCGCTGCTTTGTCTGTCACGCCCTAGATAGCATTTTGCGGATGGCTTTCGCTAGGGGTGTTTGTGCTCGTTATTCCCTGCAGGTGATGCTGAACACAGAGAGGCTGATCAAGCACGCGGTGCAGGAAAGGCTCGCGGTGACCGTGTGCATCAACAAGATAGACCGACTGATCCTGGAGCTGAAATTGCCCCCTACAGATGCTTATTACAAACTCCGACATATCGTAGACGAAGTTAATGGTCTGATCAGGTACGGGTGTACGGGATGATGCGTTGTTGGTGCTTGCTGTCCCTGTTCCATTGCAGGTGCTTTCCTTTGGGAGTCCAATGTGTGCCTAAAAATTCATGAGTTAGTCTCTTGATATGTTGAATCATAGAAAATGGGGCAGGAAGGATTGGAAATTCATCTCAGCCAATATATTGAATTATACAGGAAGGGCCAATCCTGCCTGAATTCTGACAAGCTTCATGGGATCAGCTCTTTTTCCCCCATTAAGAAGTAG